TCAAATGCAAGACACTTTGCAAAAGTAGAATCCATGGGATTTGATGGTCAAGAATAACTACGAGCGACCAAGAGATGGGGATGCCATTGAAAGGGAAGAACACAGGGAGGACTGGTTCTGATGGGACTGACAGATGTGGTTTCACACAGTTGATGCTTTAGTACTGATAAGACATCATGTTCCAGACACTTAGCAGGCACTTAGAAATAAAGAACTGGACCTCTGGACAAAAGTCAAGGATAGAGTCAAATTTGTGAACTATTCAAGTTTTGGCAGTGGATGAGACGGTTAAGGGTGAGCAGGAAAGAGAGAACTATGAATATGGTACTGGACCTCTGGACAAAAGTCAAGGATAGAGTCAAATTTGTGAACTATTCAAGTTTTGGCAATGGATGAGACGGTTAAGGGTGAGCAGGAAAGAGAGAACTATGAATATGGGGATTAAAGGACGAAAAAACAGTGAGGGGAAGAGGGAGAGAGTTGGAGTCCGGGTGGAGGGGGGCGACCTATCACAGCAGAGACCATGAGGAACAAAGTGGGACGAGCAAGGAGAAGCAGGAGAGCACGTGCCAGGAGAGCCTGGGGAAGCGCACCTGCCGCTGGGCGCTCAGGAGACGAGATCACGGGAGGGGAAGTGGCGGGAAGAGAAGTGTTCCAGTGTGGGTGAACAGGGACGGAGGGAGCAGAGGCAGGGGGCCAGTCCTGGGACTTCATCGTAAGAGGAAGGAGCCAGGTGGAAGGGGCTGTACAGCTGGGGACGGCAGCCAGGTGAGGCAGCCGAGGAGCTGACGGGTTGGGGAACACAAAGGGAAGATTTGGCTGTAAAAGATAGAGGTTTCCTCCTTCCTGGGAGGACCAGGTGGCCAAGGATGTGAAGGAGGGAATAGAGAAGTTGAGGCAGATCTTATGAGACAGCCCCTATCCTCTTAAGAGAGTGGGAACCGAGACTGTCTTCTGGAAGGAGGGTTTGGGGTGCAGTTGGTGGCCTAAGAGGATATTATTGGAAAAGTGGCTTCAGAGGATGCAACAGGATAAGCAAGTTATGAGAAAAAGGACTGTTAGGCAGCCCTGAAGACTGCTGGGGCTAGAAAACATGTTTATGGTTTTATGACCTTTTAGGGAAGTGCACGGATGCCTTAGAAGGGAACCGTGCAGGATGAGGCCCATGCAGGTGAGGGTTTGGCCAAGAGGTAAAGGAGCAGAGGCTGTCGGCACCCCATGAGAACAGCTCATCACCATGTGGTGTCTGGCTGGCTGGGGAAGCGGGTGAACCAGGGAGCAGCTGAGGAACTGGGAACCACAGGGCTGAGGACAACTCCCCGTGCAAGCTGAGGGTGCAGGCTTTGATCACGGAGGAAATCTCTGCAATAGAGCAGTTCTCAGTGAAGACTGTGAGAGAGAGAACAGCGGCCCCTGACATCCCTGAGCTGGCCAGGCACTCACAGCTGGGCCCTGGCATTCTCCTGTTGGGCATGAATGATTTCACAGAACATCGACACCAGACAAGGCCACTGTGTGACCACAATGGGACAAGACAAAAACATGGCCACTCAGTAATCACATCTGAATACAGACAAAG